TATGTCACCATGGAGGCCCAGAACAGCAACAACCACCATCAGCACAACCTGGAGAACCAAGACAAACTGCACCAGCTGCCTGGGCAGGACTTCCAAGAGCAGGTGAGCCCCCCCACCCCCCCACCGCTGGGCTTGTTTCTGGGTTCCCTTCTCCCTTGTTTGAGACAACGTGGCCCAGCTGTACAGATGGTTGGGTTTTGGGTCACTTTCTGCTATTTCAGGTCCGTGGGGGTACTCGGAACCCGGCCTATGGTACTGGTGCCAGCGTTAAGGGCTCCTTTCTGAATTATGTCACCAGAACCTCTTAAACACACCCGCAATTTATCAAATTAACCAATTTAGCGATATTTAGACCCCCCGTAATGTATTCACTGGCAAAGCCACTTTGCTGCTGGGGAATTAAGGTTAATTACACGTTTTTTTTCTGAAGCTGAGATTGCAGATACTGCAGCCGGTTTGTTTGCGGGGTAATGAATGCTTTCCGTGCCACGACATAGTGTAGATGTAATTAAGCTGCAGTCAAATGCAATTAGTTACTTAAGCTGCACTCGTGCATTTGCCACAACAAGAGCTGATTGTGCCCCCCTCCCCCCCAATGCATCCGTGCCTGGGGGCTAAATCACACAGCCGTTCAGATAAATGTGGCCTGTCTTTCGGATTTCCCTGTTTCTCTGTCATCCCATTGATAGTCTTCCAAGCTGTGGTTCATGTGACCCATGATGTCGTCGCTCAGTGTTCTGTTGTTGGCCATCCCACCCCTACAAAACAAGTCTGAGAGCATTCAGGTCTGATAACTGAAGTGTGACATTACTGTGGGTCACAGCAGCTCTCTGTGAGGAAGTCGCTTCCGGGAGATGGAATGCCAAGCGGAATCGTGGGCCGTAATGGGCTCGGCGTGCGGTATTCCGGCAGTTTGTTGGGTCCGTGTGCTGTGAGGAGCCGGAAGCCTGATCGCATGCAGCCGGGGAGAGTATGGCGGGGGCTTCTCTCACTAGCACATTGTGATACCTTGGAAAGTGGACTCTGGTGTTTCAGGCAGTTCACTTGGAGGCGGCGATGGGGGGGGGGGGGATAGCAGTGGCTTTGTTACTGCTGATAAATCCATGGTCTTTCACAAGATGGTTTGGCAGCTCGCCGGAGCTGCTGACACTGGGCCTCCTTTGTGTCCCAAAGACTCGGCGCGACACAAGACCTGCTTTGACTAGAACAAGAACAAGATCTGCTTTCACTGCAACAACCCGGGGCCTGATTTTGCTACAGCAGCAGCAGATCTGCTCCTTCTGGGTGAACGCGCTGTCTGATTTTGCTCCATCAACACAAGATCTGATTTTGCCGTAAGAACCTAAGACGCTGGGATGTTCAGAGACTTTACGAGGGACAGGTCCCCAGCTGGCAGGGGGGGGGTCGATGTGGGGGGGGGATGCAGGAGTGACCCTCTGTGAAATTTGCTTGGTTGTCAGTTACTGTACAGGGGCACTTAGGACCTCAGAAGGGGGAGCTCTTTGAATCATTCGGGCCAAAAGGGGGCCCCCCCAGAGCATCCCCCTCCACTAAGATGTGATTTTGTTACAACGTCAGACTTCATTCTCCAGGAGGAGCTCAAAGTCTGCTTCTGATACAGCATAGCAGCAGCAGAGTGGATTATTTCGGCATCTTGTCCTGCATCACACCTGCAGCAATGAGTCCTGCCTGGAGCTTCATGGAAACAAGCTGCTGCACTTATTATACGACCGTAGAAAAGGGAGAATTAAAAAGACACAAGAAGATATTGGTTTTAGTATTTATTTAAATTGGCCCGGCTGGACAGATCTCCATTATTCCAGATTTGACAGGTTTTGCGGATTCACTCTGATGAAGTTCAGGCCCCTAATGCTGTTGGAGCAGTAGATTCCTCTGTGGGGCCAGAGGACGGCACAGCCCCCCCCCCCAGTGTGAAAAAACCTCCGTACGTTGTGTTTCCATAATTTGAAACGGTGTCATCCTTGTCGTATTACTGTATGACCAGGGGCTAGATTAAAAAC